CTGCCCCCTGGCGGGCACACGCCGCAGTCGTTCGCATGCGCCGTGCGGAGACCTGGGATCATCACGTACCGGGTGAGAGATCCTGGCTTTAGAGTTGAGCCACACCTCGGGAGAACGAGTGGGTGGCTCGCTGTTAGCCTGTAAGTGGCAAAGCCAGCACCCACCAGAACCTAGTCTCCGATGCTTACGGCATGCAGAGCTGCCAATCAGCGGCGCTGGGTGCTGGGTACCAGGGCTGGGCAGGAGTAAGATAGGGCTTCTAGCCTAGGTTTATTATGATTTTACTAAGGAGAGAGATACGAAAGAAGGTAACTTCAAGGGGATGAGGCAGGTGCACCTACATACTTTTTTTGCTGTGTTTTATCACACTTGTGAGAAGGTAGATATACCTAACACTTGCAGCCCTGGGTATGGTAGCTAAAATCCCAGCACTCAGGAGGCAGAAACTAACGGTTAGCTAGGCCATCCTAGGACACACAGAGTGCCTCAACCTTCTCACCCCGCCAAACAAAAACAAACAAAAGAATACGTGTAAAATGGGTTTGTGTGGAAGGAATATTTAAAAGATGTTAGTTGCCTCGCATGGTGGGCTATATCGTGAGCCCCAGGCCCGCGAGAGCGACATACTGAGAACCTGTCTCAAGGAAACATTCAAGCAACAACAAAACTTCTAGTTACTAGCGATTACTAGAGAATTCACTACATGCCTGCCTTCTTTTCAGTGACTGCATGCATTGTTTCAGTCAGACCTCATGGACAATTGGAATGACCTGGACAAAGACTGGCCAGACTAGGATGGGAAGCCAGGCAGTTTGACTCCAGGGCCTCTCGCTATCTCGCGCTGATCATCAAATACGGTTCTATATGACAAAGGCTTAACCGTCCAGGGTGAGGGGTGGGCTGCAGGGAGCTGTGAGGGGGAAGTCTGAGCCAGTGATTCATTCACACTGCCTTCCAGTCTCACATAAGCCTAAAACTAGAGGCCCTGAAGAGATGGCTCTGTGGTAAAGAGCGCTTGCTGCCCTTCTAGAGGACGAGTTCAGTTCCCAGCACCCACACTGAGTAGTTCACAACCACCGGTAACTCCAGCTCCAGGGAATCCAGTGTCCCCTCTGGTCTCCATGTATTTGCACGCATGTGACATACATTCACACAAACATACACACATGCGTATAAATAATGATAAGAAATATTTAAAAATTGGAAACTTGAAAGTAAGAATGACCTACCTATCTTGGAGTAATCTTAAAGTTTTCAGGAATCCATTATGACGTTCAGGTCTCTCATACTTAGGAGTTTATTATCCCTGCCTGTTTACAAGTCATGATCATGATTGTTTACACTCTTGTTCCATAGACTTCCAAGAAAATGGAGGCCTCAATCTTGTCTAACACTCCTGGAGAGAGATTCTACGGAAGGCAAAGGAAAACATTTTATCCAGTGTTCCCTGAGCATTAGACCAGAATATGACTTCAGAGCACATTTCTGTTCTAAATAAGAAACCAACTAAAAGCATAACTCATACAAATTTCTCTTCATACTCATTTTTAAGATTTATTTGTCTCTGTATGCGTATATATGTGTGTGTCTGTGTGTCTGTCTGAGAAGCCCTGGAGTCCAGAAGAAAGTGTTCGGTGTCTGGGAGCTGGAATTATAGGCGTTTGTGAGCCACTTGCTGCGTGGATGGTGGTATCCAAATGCAGGGTCCCAGGACTGAGCAACAAGTGTGTTTAACTACTGAGCAACCTCTCCAGCCCCTCAGAAGTAACACAAATATTTATTTTACTTTAGGTGCACAGGTGCTCTCTCTACACTATGTATATGTACTGCGTGCATGCCTGGCGCCCTGGGACGTCAGAAGAGGCTATCAAGACTCCTGGAACTGGAACTGAGCCACGCGCTGAGCCCTGGGAGTCGAACTTAGGTCTCTGCGAGAGCCACAGGTACGTCTCACTGTTGAGCCATCTCTCCAGCTCCTCAGAAATAATTTTTAAATTGAGAAATACATTCAGGAAGGAAAACCTGGGCTATTTTTAGAGCCAGTATTGTCCAACAGAGATATAGTGAAACCCATGTTGTAAAATAATTTCCTCGTAACTCCATTTTTAAAAGTTAAAAGAAAATGAAATTGGTTTTATTGTATTCTTAAAACCGTCACTTGGACTTGTAATCACTTGAAAATATGAGAGATATTTTATACTCATTTTATATGCTAAGTAAAATCTACTGTGTTTTACACTCACGGTACACCCAATTCAAATAAGCTAACACGCTCCTGGTGGCTTCCACATGGAGCCTGACAAGTGCAGACCTGGCCTTGCTAGGAGATGCTGTCTTTGAAAGTATTTCCCAGACAGACCTCACTGAACCCGTGCTTGTGTCTAACTCGACCCCCAACTCATTGAGGCCTGTGGCCAAGCTACGTCCCCCAGAGATAACCAACAACTTGCCTCCTACGCCTACCTGTTCGGCATTCTCAATCCTTTGCTGCCCCTGTGAGGCCACTGACGGTACTGCACCATCAGCACGTTAGCCCCAGGTTTTGCTGCCTAAGAAGCACAACCTACTCCCAGGGGTTCGTTATCAAGCCCCTAACAATGAGTTTGAGTTTTGTTGCGGTTTGTTTGAGACAGGGTCTCACGTGGCTCCTGCTGTGTTCACACTGGTTATGGAGTTGAGGCGGACTGAGCTCATGATCCTCCTGCCTCTGCCACCCCGTGCTGGAATCACAGGTGTGAGCGTGACACGCCCAAACAGTAAATTAAAAGTGTGGCATTTGATTGTCAGTTAAGATTTTCTCAATTATGCCCCAGTGAGGACAAATTTTACATAAAAGACTGACTACATAAAGTGATCTCATTTGTACCATTTAAGACTCTGGGTTGGAGTTACGGAAATGAACTCGGCTACTGCGTGAGCGGAGGAAACTTTCTTCCTTAGGTTGGGCAGCCGGGCTTCTGGAAGGCAAAATCGGGGACCGGGACACTGGCAGCCCCTCTACTGTCTGTGTCTCCACTTCTCAGCTCTGTGGTAGCCATGGGAACTCGAGAGATCCTGGCTGTACCTATTAGTTTTGTCCTCTGAGCAGCTAACTTGTCTTTCCAGATTGTGGGAACCTAGGCAGTTTGGATGCTCACCTTACTAGACCTGGATGGAGGTGGGTGGTCCTTGGTCTTCCCATAGAGCAGGAAACCCTAATTGCTCTTTGGGCTGACAAGGGAGGGGGACTTGATTGGGGGAGGGGGAGGGAAATGGGAGGCGGTGGAGGGGAAGAGACAGAAATCTTTAATAAATAAATAAATCTCTAAAGAGAATTGGATTGGCCCAGCTCAGTGGTCCAATATTGTTCGTTCAACTGGCTACAAAGGTGAAGTCATGTGCTCATAGCTTCTAGAAGTTCACTTCATAGACCAAGGCAGGTTTCAGAGAAGCAAGTCTGAACAGGATATTTGAATAGATTAATGACAAAAGATATCCAAGGACAGCATCCCCAATGTTGTCATAGAGGGTGTGAGGTCAACATTGAGAAGTTTACACAAAGTTTAATATTTAAAATATATTTTTGAGTCCTGACCCAGCTACAGAAGAAGCAAGACGTGACTGCCTCGCCGAAAAAGATGAGGGAAAGAAGGCTTAAGGAAATTAAATGCCAAAAGGCCAAGCCAAACTGAAGCCATTTCTCTTGAGCCTTGTGGGAGTGAAGAAATGACAGATCGAATGTGAACAGTTGTCAAATTCAGGAGCATAAAAATCTGAATGTTCCAGAAAAATCAGCAGTAGTGAAACTCTACTCCCCTAATGATAGTTTTGGAGAGCCCTGGGAACTCAATAAAACCTCAGTGATTGACAATAAAATAAAATAAAATAAAATATATTTTTCTGTGTTGAGTAGTTTGCCTGCATGTATATATTGCACCACGTGCATGCTTGGTGCCCACCAGAGCAGGAAGAGAGTGCTGTCTCCACAGAAGTAGTAATAGGCAGTAGTGACTGCCATATGCATGCTGGGAGCCAAACCCCTGTCCTCTGCAAGAGTGCCAAGTGCTCTTAGCCATAAGCCTTCTCTCCAGCCCCAGGTTTAAATTTTAAAAGATAATCTCTATGGAGAATATATACAATATTAATATTAATGGTGTTCCCAATAACAACCATCACCTTAGGACTCGCACAAATATTCCCACAGATACACAGTAACCTATTTTCTAAAATACATATTACTGTATTAACACGAGTTAGAAATATAAAGCACTTATGAGTTAGGAGGCATGGATATACAGAGTGATGTGTAAGTCAGCAAGAATGTGATTGTTGATAAAGACTGACAAATTCTGAACCTAAACTTGCACAATGAATAGCTGTGTGCCACCCATCTAAGTAAGACTAAATTAAAAGAAAAAAAATGCCAAACTCAGAATTTTTTTTAAGGTTTTATTCTTACAATTTGGAGAAAATACTTTTCCCATATAGGTTGGTTTAAAATTGTTCTATTTTTGTTTCTTGATTCTGTTATATATAAAATTATTCAAGGGGGGGAATATGTGAAGCTGGGATCCCAGGACCTAAGTAGATTAGGATTTATAGTAAAGTACAATTTTTAATAAAACAATTTAGACGACCCCAAATCCTACTAAGATCTTACGTTTCCTCGGTGACTCCAGTTTTCATACATAATATATATATATATATATATATATATATATATTTATTTATTTGTTGTTTAAAGTTACAGGCATTAGATTTTTGATTTTTCATTATAGAAGTAATACATGCTGACTATAAAAAAGACACGGTATTTAATGTGCGACTTCACTTAAAAAGCCACGAGCAAAGATCTGTACACTGCATAAGAAAATTCCAAGTGCTTATACTTTCAAGCATTAACATAATCTTTTATTTTTCAAAAACTCATACAAGGATTGATTATTTTTGTTTTGCTTGTTTTTTTCTAAGACAGAGTTTCTCTGCATAGGCCAGGCTGCCCTGGAGCTTATACACCAGGCTGGCCTGAAATTTACAGAGATCCACCTGCCCCTGCCTCCCGCATGCTGGGATTAAAGGCATGCGCCGCCACCAGCAGCAGCTGTGTTTTACTTTTCTGTAAGGAGATACAATTTTTCAAAAATGTAATCAAGTCCCCAAGCTTTGTGTCGTTCTTCCAAAGCATCAGCCTCCTCAAGGAACCGAATGCTGCACTTCTTACCTGAAGTCAGAAAGGTAACAAGTTAAATAAAACATTGTGAAGAACATCAGGAATGCCTCTACAAAATCTCTGGAGGATTTTGTGGCTAAAAATCTTTATCTTTTTGTGCATTTGTGCGTATTTGTGTGCGTGCATGCGCACATGCATGTGTACGGGGGTCACTGATATCTGGCATCTTCTGTATACTCTCTACTTTATCTTTTGAGGCAGGATTTCTCAGTGATCCCAGAGCTCTGGAATCTGCCTGCGCCCCCTCCATCGCAGCTGCTAGGGTCACAGGCATGAATGACCAGGTCTGGTTTTGATGTGGGTGCTGGGGATCCAAACGCAGGTCCTTCCTGCTTGCCTGGCAGGCACTGCACAGACTGAGTTATCTTCCCAGCCCTCTGAAAATGAAGCTGGCCTTGAATTTGTTTTGTAGCTAAGGGTTGCCTTGAACTTCTGATGCTCCAGCACCAGCCTCCCAAAAGCTAGGACCACAGGTGGCGTCTTTATTATAAAGCACACAGATAAAAGGGCCCATACTAGTCCCTTTTCTAGGATAAAACAGTCTTTCGTATCATAGTCTCTGCTTTTTACATTTTATATGCTTTAATTGCATATACTGATAGTTCACTAGCGACCGAACAGTTGACTGTTTACTTGCTTGGTTTACTTTTATTTAATTCTATTTTTCAGACAGGCATTTCTCTTTGATCTAGACTCAGGCTGGCCTGGAACTTTCTCCTCTTGATTTAGCTACTTGCGGTCTGGGATTACAGTTGTGTCCACCACCCTTGATTTACTGACTTTATTTACAAAGAACATAATTGGGGTTGGAGATGGCTCAGCAGTCACAGCGCTTTACCTATCTTGCAGAAGACCCCAGTTTGCTCACATTGCCTATCCCTCCAATACCTGGGGCTCTGATACTTCTGGCCTCTCTAGACATGTGCACATATCCATAAAGACACATATACACATACACATAATTAAAATAATAAAAAACCCTAAAAAATATAAAGAGCACCACTCCTTTAACCCAGCACTCAGGGGGCAGAGGCAGGTGGGTTTCTTGGGTTCAAGGCCAGCCTGGATTACAGTGTGAGTTCTAGGACAGTCAGGGCTACACAGAGACAAGGTGGGTGGGGGAGAAAGGGAGTGCATAACTCCTAACCCCTGGTAGGGTGTCTGCAAGCCTGCCTGACATCCGGAGACAATCCCCAAAATCCACAAGGTGGAAGAACTGACTTTCTGCAAGTTTGTTTTGTGACCTCTTCATGCCACACGCCACACACACACACACACACACACACACACACACACACACACACGGCATGGGTATTAAAGAGGAATGTTAACTTACCAAATAACCTTTTAAGTTCAGTGTCTGGAACATAAAATGGCGGGCCTAAGAGAAAAAGAGTCTGGTGAAGAATAGTTTATCTCTCCAACTCTACTTCTGAAAACAAACACATTCGTGGGGTTCACCTCTCAGTTTAATTTCAGTCATGTTACAGAGACTTATTCTATAAACTACTCAGAAATCCAGAGAGGTGAGCATGTAGCAGGACTTTCTAGTGTGTGTGTGCATGCATGCGTGCGTGCGTGCGTGCGTGCGTGTGTGTGTGTGTGTGTGTTTTAAAGATATAGGGTCTTATGTAGTTCAAGCAGGCCTCGAACTCACTGTGGAGCCAAGGATGACATTGAGCTTCTGACCCCCAACCTCTATCTCCCAAGGCATGTACTGCTACATCTGGTTTACACAGTGCTGGGGATCAGTCCAGAGGCTTCCTGCAGGCTAGGCAAGCACTCTACCAACTCAGCTACATTCCTGTTCCCCTGACCTGGCTTTTGTATTTCTCATATCAGAGATCAGAGTGGAGTCCATTGACAGGTTCCTCTAGGTGTCCTTTGCCTTCCAGGCTGTTGATTTCAGCCCTTTGACACTACATCCCTCCCACTCGGCTGTGGGACAGGGACTTGCAGCATCTTCCCTGTCCATTAAAGCTGTGCTGCTTCCCATGGTGCCTTCCCTGGGCCTCCTGCTCATGAGCAGAACTTAAACAAGATGAGCAGAGCTCACTTCAGCCTTCACTGACTTCTCCTTCCTTCTGACTGCCTCAGACATAATTACAGACACCAAGTCTTTTTTAGACCCAAGGTTTTCAAATAGACTACCACACATAAATATTAATAAAATGGGGGTACTTAAAAAAAAGCTCAACTAAAAAATCAAACAATGCCAGACATACTAGCTCATACCTGTAATCCTAATGTTTAGGAAGTTAGGGTGTCAGGATCAAGAGTTCAAGGCCAGCCCAGGCTACATGAAACTGCCCCCTCTCAAAAACCAACAAACAACCCCAGTGAACCAGCTATGATTCCAGCACTCAGGAGGTGGAGGGAGAAGGATACTGAGTTTGAGACCAGCGTGGGCTTCATCATGAGACACTGCCTCAAAAACAATCAACCAGCCAACCACCCAACAAACATCCTTCTCCCTCAACAAGAAAACCACCAGGAGTCTTACAAATTAAAAGTCTAAATACTTGATTGTAACTCCTTCATGAAAATACAAGCCTGCCCAAGGCAAACACTAAGATGCAGTGCCCAAGGCTGGGAGGTGGCTCAGTGGGACAGCACTTGCCTGGTACCTGTAAGGCCCTGGGGTCCATCCCCAGTGCTGAGAAAGCTTACTCCCAATGCAACAAAATGAGTTGCTGTGGAATGTTCCTTTACACTGTGTGAATAAATGTCACTGTGATTGGTTTAATAAAGAAGCTGACTGGTCAATAGTTGAACAAAATAAGGTTAGGCAGGAGAGTCAGACTAGGAGAATGTAGATGGAAGTTTCTATCCCTCCCAGTCCTGCAGTCATTCAGTCACAAAGAAACACACAGAGGTTTATATTAACTATACACTATTTGGCCTATCAGCTCAGGCTTATTATTAACTAGCTCTTACAACAAATTAACCCAAAATTCTTGTCTATATTTAGCCGTGTGGCTTGGTAACTTTTCTCAGCAATGCATTCTCATTTTTCTTCCTCTGCCTCTGGCTGGTGACTGACTCTCTGCCTTTCCTCTTCCAAGAATTCTCTTAGTCTGGTCATCCCACCTATACTTTCTGCCTGGCTGCTGGCCAATCAGCATTTTACTAAACTAATATGAGTAACAAATCTTTACAGTGTACAAGAGCATTATCTCACAGCAGGAGAATGCTGGGAGGAAGAAGGGCAGAATCTGGAGTCACCAGGAGACACAGAGGGAGCAGGAGATGAATGTGCCATGCTAATAAAGGTACCACTATGTGGCAGAGCATAAATAAGGAATATGGGATAAAATTAAGTGCTAGTTAGTTATAAGCCTGAGCTACTGGCCGAACATTTGTAATTAACATCAAGCCTCTGAGTGATTATTTGAGAATGACTGGGGGAAAGGAAAACTCTGCCTACAATGAGTCAGAGGAACCATCATCTCCAGAGACTGAAAATAATAAGGCCAGGGAGGAAGCTCAGTGAGAACGGGCTTGCCTAGCACTGACAATGCCCTGGGTTTGATCCTCACTGATGCCAAATGTTACACAAAACAAACAAAATCAGAGAGACGGTAGTAGCATCTGATAGATAAAACCTAAGATTAGCTAGGAGTGGTGGCCCATGTCTACAGTCCAGGCACTTGGGAGACTGAAGCACAGAGATCTTGAGTTTGATCCTAGCCTAGGCTACATAGTAAGTTCTAGACCAGGCTGGGCTTTAAAGTAAGACTTTGTTGCCAAAACAAAACAAAAGCACACCATTTGAGAGATTTCCCCACAACCCCACAGTTTCTCATGCCTCTTCCCCTTCCGTTTGAATTCCTGTGGGGATGCATCTGAGTGTGTATCAACATTTGCTTCATGCAATGCCACCTCTGGGGGCAGCACAGTCATGCAATGCCCATCATAGCAGGGCAACCAAGCAATGCCCATGGCAGGGCAATAACGCAGTGCCCATGGCAGGACATCCACATTTCTTTCTTCTACTCTGGGACTCTTGAGCTATCTCTTTACATTAGGAGCATCCATTTCCCCCTTTTCCAGTTTGAACTATGACTGATGAACCAAACAAGAAAGGAATATAAGGGAGCTGGAGAGATGGCTCAGAGATTAAGCATATTGACTGCTCTTCCAGAGGTCCTGAGTTCAGTTCTCAGCAACCACATGATGGCTCACAACCATTTGTAATGAGATCTGGTGCCCTCTTCTGGCATAGAGGTGTACATGCAGGAGGAACATTGTATACATAATAAATCTTTAAAAAAAAAAAAAAGAAAGGAATATAAGAAAACAAGGACAGTGTGGAAGAGCACAAAGGTTTACTGTTCTCATTATCCCAGAATTATCTTCACACACACAAGCAGTACACATCCTATGAGATAAGATGGGGAAGAAGAAATAATAATAGAATTAAATCAGGGAACAAAGCAGACAAGTGTGGCTTACCTGCATGTTTAGTTGGATCATAAGAAAGGATGGCCACGAGGTAGTGAAACCCTTTGTTCAGTAGGGACAGTATTACATCTGCATAGCTAGAAAGAGCACAAAAAAAGTATGTTTCATTTCTCTATACAGACAGAGTCTGGAAGGGACAAAAGGCAATGAAGGAAGCCAGCATCTACCATATACACTACTACACTACAACCTGCAGTGAAATTCTCCTAGTAACCATATAAACCTGTACGGTGGTTTCAATGAGAACGGGCCTCCTCTCCTGGGGCTCACAGATTCAAACACGGGTCCCCAGTTGGTGGAATTATATGGGAAGCAATAGGAGGTGTGGCCTTGTTAGAGGAGATAAGTCACCGGGGGTGGGCTTTGATGTTTCCAAAGTCCATGCCAGGCACAGCTAGGTCCGGTCGGTCTCTCTGCCCCCCTCTTCTCTCTCTCTCTCTCTCTCTCTCTCTCTCTCTCTCTCTCTCTCCCTCCCTCCCTCCCTCCTTCCCTCCCTCCCTCCCTTCTACAGATCAGGATGTGGGCTGTCAGCTACTGTTCTAGTGATGCTGCCATGTTCCCCACCATGATGGTCATAGACTAAGCCTCTGAAACTATAAGCCAGCCCCCAATTCAATGTCGCATTTATAAGCTGCCTTGGTCATGGTGTCTCTTCACAGCAACAGAACAGAACTAAGATGACCTGGTTCTTGTGCCCTAGGTTGGCCTCAGATTCACTAAGTAGCCAAGGCTGACCTTGACTTTCTGATCCTCCTGCTTCCACTTTCTAAGTGCTGGGATTATAGGCCTGCAACACCACATAAGTTGATGGCATGATGAGGGTGGGCACATGGGCTTTGTGCATGCCAGGCAAGGTTTATTTTATGGGTGGGTATTTTATATGCATGGATGTCTGAGTACCACCATATACATGCAACTATGTAGGGGTTCTTTGAAAGATTTATTATTTTAATTATGTATAATTATGTGTCTGTGTATTTGGGGAGGGGTATATGTGCACGCGAGTGCTGGTGTCCAGGGAGGCCAAAGGTTCTGATCCCCCTGGAGCTGGAGCTGTAGCAATTGGGAGCCTTCTGACATGGATACGGGGAAGTGAACTTAGGTCCTCTGGAAGAGCAGGATGTGTTCCTAACTCCATAGCCACCTCTCCAGCCTCCAGGGGTTTTTATTTAAAAGCAAGAAATGTATGGAACAAATTATGTCCCTTGGTTTCCCCACCAAAGCTAGGAAATAGTAAAGAGAAGAATCAAGCTGAAGCCTTCTCCCAGGGTAGGTCAGTCATGAAGACACCACAGGACACACAGAGGCTGATATGGTCCTAAGGGACCTGGTGACCTTGCCCAGATGGTTTCTGAAGGACTACCAATCTACTGTGTGCTCAGGGGTAGGGGTTCCCAGACCAGGCTGGGGTTCAAAAACTCCAAGACACATGCTAGAAGGAAAGATGCTTGAATTCCACCCACAGCTTGACTCGGTAGGTCTGCTGTTGGGTTGGGATGTTGACAATGAACAACTGTCACACATGACTAGGACATCACTAGTGACATGCATAGGAGGAGGGACAGAGCAGAATCCCTTTCATCTGGTTTGATGGAGTAATGAGACTAGGCTACAGGTGAGTTTGAGGTGACGGACCATCAAAGCTCTATAAAGACAGCATTAACCACCGGTGCTGTGGACGGTCTGTGAGTGGGTGCCCTGAAGAGTGGGTGACACAGCTTCCCAGCCATGTGTTAGTGCAGAAGTAGGCTGTGACGCTGATGAAGCAGGTCTGGGCCTGGTATGGGGGGATGAGGGAGACTGATGGCTCCACTTGCACACCGAGGAAGTAGAGAGAGGGACTGATTGTCAGCCATGGTGGCTACGGTGAGAGCTAGATACAGCATCTGTGCTGAGTGATGCCTGGAGCTGAGGAAGCTGAGTGTTGTCAGTGAGTCAGATATATAGGAAGAGAAATGGCAGAAGTATACTAAGAGTGGGGATACACATCCAAAATCTTAGGAGCTGGGAGGCCTGGAAGGCTCAAATTCCAGGCCAGCCTAGGCTACATATGAGTTTGAGGATAGCCTTGGTTTCATCTTGAGAACTTATCTTCAAAAAATTTTTTAAATAAGCAAAAGAAACAATAAAGTAATCTTTTGAGCAGAATCCTTCACTTTTTAACTTTCTGACACCCCCCCACACCCCCATGTAGTCTCAGGCTGGCCAGGAACTCACCATGTAGCTTAGGCTGGCCTCAGATTGGCAGCAACCCTCCTACCTGAGCCTCTCAAGTGCTGGGCTTACAGATGTGAGTCACCACAGCTGGTGTGACTCTTATTCTTAAGAAGCGAGAAGAAGAAACCTGTCCCTAGAAAAGTGATCCATCAGAGCGGCTCAGCCCTGTCTCTTGGAACTGACAGCCATCAATCCTCTTGGAATGAATCAATCTCAAAAAGAATCTAGAAAAGTGGGGCTGGAGAGATGGCTCAGAAAGCACAAACTGTTCTTGTAGAGGACCGAAGTTTGATTCCTAGCATCCAGATTGTTTGGCTCACAACCACCTGCATCTTCAGCTCCACGGTATCCAGCGGCCTCTTCTGACCTCCATGGTCATCCACCATACGTGCATACACATACACACAAACAAAAGAATTAAAAATATCAAAGTAACTAATCCTGATAACAATGTCCAACATGCTTGAGTGTGTTTACCCTGTGACCATAGAGACACACACATACGGGGGGGTGGGGGAGTAGGGGAAGAAAAGGCAGAGCAGGGGAACAGGGAGGATCGTGACTCTCTGGCCTAGCTAGAATTTGGTTCTCTGAGGAAGCTTCCCCTTGGGTGTCACTTGCCTTGTTAGCCATGAACAGAGGGTCAGAGTCCACTAGGGTGGCCTTCACAGCTAAGGACAGAGGAGCTGATGCAAGAAACGGTACATTTGTCTTGCCTGATGTAAGCTCGATTGTCTTCATTTAGTCACGGTAATTACAGATATCTTATCTGCACTAAGTGTATATCAGGGCTAATACTAAGAGCAGCTGAGTCCACTGACCCTGCTTTCCCTTTGATCTGAACTCAACATCCTGCTCTCTCCCTGGCAACCTGTGAATTTTTATAGAGCAAACCAAAACCCATGAAGGAACCAACCCCAAAGAAACAGAGGACCATCCTGGAGAGGGCTCAGGAAATAGCTACAAACTTCAGCATTTTGCAGAACTGAATGTGGTCCACAAATACAGTGTGTTATGAAGACGAAGGGGTTTCAGGTGATGCTTTGCACTGAGGAAGAACACGAACGCCATGGTGGGAAATGCAGGCCATGCTCTGGAAACGTGATGCGGATGTTTGGAAGAGCTGGGTGACAGAAGAACCGTCCTGGCAAAAGTCACGCCCACTTCCCAGCACCTGACATAGGGGACATCTAAGAATCCAATGGGAATGTAACAAGTAGCTTTTGAAGAGCTGAATGCCAGGAACAGAATTCAAATGATCTTTCAGGAGCAAGCATGGCAGAGAAAAGCCCAGATGAGGATGCAGGGTGGGGTGGGGTGTGGGAAGGAAAATGAGAGGAGGAGGAGGAGAAGGAAGAGAAGGAGGAGGAGGAGGAGGAGGAGGAGGAGGAGGAGGAGGAGGAGGAGGAGGAGAGAGAGAGAGAGAGAGAGAAATCATCAGTGAAAGAGAAAACTTGTATATTTCTAGTGTGGAATGTTCTAGTTTTCACAGATTAGGTTTGGCAATGGCCTTACATATGAAGAAATTGGTTTTTTAAATAAAAAAAATGTGTCACTGACATGGAGCTTGAACTTTGTAGCCACGTGTGAAGAGCCTGCCTCTGTGTAATGAGTAATTCAGTATCTACCCGGCCAAATCTGAAGAGATGCATATGTAGCATTTACACAGGAAAAGGAGAATTGCATTTCCCTCACATGCTTTCTTAATTTGACTTTCTAGCCAGGTTAGGTATAAACAGGATCACTCAAAGGATCAACAAGTGCTTTTGTAAGTTCAGCCAGAGTTAATAACACATTTCTCATGGATTTCCTTGCTCTTTTATTTAGGAGATATAGTCTCATGGCCTCATTATGGCCCAGGATCGCTTTGGACTCCCAAGTGCCATGATTACAGCTGTGTGCCACCACACCTGGCTCACATATTTTTGTTTTGAATCCCCACAGCAACTCTTCAAGGTCATGTGATGTGGAACTCTGAACAAACTTGGCAGGTTAGACTCAACTGTCAGGTCCTGGCTGTCTAACTTGAAACACATCTCTTTCTCGGCAGGTTAGACTCAACTGTCAGGTCCTGGCTGTCTAACTTGGAACACATCTCTTTGACCTTAAATTTCTCACAGGCATATTGGAATCAAGACAGCACACATGTCATAGGGCTGCCAGGCTAGTTAAATGTGTTGTCGCACACTGAATATTCCAAACAATGCCTGGCAGAGGACAGAGTCCAACATCTGTCAGCAATGGCGATGGCGCTAGCAGAATCATCTCATGTCACAGAGGAGCAAACTGAAGCTCAGAGAGCCACAGTGCTTTGGTCGAGGCCACAGAGCTTGCAAGGTGAGCGAACCCCGGAGTCTTAACCTCAAACTCAGCTAACACAACGAAAACCAAAACAACCGAAGAAACTGACTTACCGATCGTGGTCACCTGGATTGATAGCCACTAACGATCCTCTGTCCCAAATCCTGTCAAACTTGCCAATATTCACTCTGCTCAGAAGAGAGGGTAAAGGTTGTTCTATTTTGTCTAGAAAAGGTCAAATCTCAAACAGGATATCTGGGGTTCTGCAGGGGAATGCCGGAAATCTCACCTATCATCAGGGTATCAGGGCCTCATGGTGGCTTTTCTTTATAGACTTTAGAGGGGTGTACTGGCCCAGTGTGGGACTGTCCACTTTCTACTCTCTCAGCAGCCTCCTTGTTTTGCTATGACTTTGGAAAAGGAGGGAGGACAGAGGGCAGCTGTAGATGAACTCTGTCCATAGGAAGTTGTAGCAAGCTTTTTCATCCGCCTCCAGCTCACAAATAATGACATGGAAACTTATTATTTATTATGAAAGCTTGGCCTTTTGCTTAGGCTTATCTCAACTAGCTCTTATAACTTAAATTAACCCATTTATATTAATCTATGTTCTGCCACCATTAATGGGATTAATATAACCCATTTATATTAATCTGTTCTGGTATTGCCTCTCTTCCATCTTGCAACTTCTGTTTCCTCTCCTGGTCTCGCTGGCAACTCTGTCTTTCTTCTTCCCGAGTTTTCTCTGTCTGGAAGTCCCATCCTGCCTAATTATTGGCCTTTGAGCTTTTTATTACACCAATCACAGCTACACATCTTCACAGTGTACAAATATCCCACAAGAGGCAGTGAGTGACAGCTCTGTTCCTGTCCCTGGCTCGGGCATCAGGCTCTGGCAGGTATCACATTGCATCCTGCACCTTATAATTCGTTTGGTTACAGGCTTAGGTGCCAGGTAGAAGACTTGGCCTTCCTCTCTCCATGTCTACCTACTCTGGATCGTAATAACAATTTTGAAGGTTTGGGAGATATACCCATAAAGTGGAAAGACTGTGCTTTGGTAAGGACAGCTGTAGGACAATGCTTGTTGCTGCAGAGTGGACAGGAGTGGCAAACAGATCCCCCACCCCAGCCCAGCACTGCCAAACAAGGCCACCTCCATTGTTACTGTTATTACTCGTTATTCTTATGCGTTGTGCGTGTGTGGAAGCACATGCATACTAAGGTGTGCATACATACAGAGGTCAGAGGACAACATTCACGAGTTTCTTCTTTCCTTCTTCCATGGGTTTTAGGAACTGAACTTAGGTCATCAAGCTTGCAAGACAAGCACCTTTATTCTCTTAGCTATCTTGCTGGACCAAGGACCACCTTTTTTCTTTTCTTTTCTTTTTCTTTTTTTTTCTTCGAGGCAGCATCTCATATATAGCCCTGACCTGGAACTTGCTATCCAGAACAGGTTGGCCTCCAGCTCACAGAGATCTGCCTGTTTCAAGTGCTGTGTTAAAGCGTGTGCCACCATCCCTTATTAAATGAAAAATGGCTGTTTTGGTGGATAAAGCACTTAGCACATAAGCACGAGTATGTGAGTTTAGACAGCCAGAACCCATGTAAGAGCAAGACATTTGTAACACCAGTGCTCCCCTGGTGAGACGGGAGGTGGAGACAGGAGGATCCCTGCAAGTGTGAAGGCCAGCTAGCACAGGGCCGTGGAACCCTGTCTCAAACAGAGTAGAAGGTAAGGACTGGCATCTAAGGTTGCCCCTGACTGCCACTCATGTGCAATAGCGTGCACACACTTGAACATAAACTCACACTCTCACACACTTGGGCATATACACTCACACGCACTTACATACAAAATGGTGGCGCTAGAGCATGCAGTCACTCAGAGAAGCACACACTAACAGTCACACATACATGTGCTTGTACACATTTACACACAGACTCACACATCCCACTCACGCTTACACACACACACACACACACATGCATTCATTCTCTTTTACACCCCCACACACTCACACACTGGTGCAAAGGGATCACTCATTCACACACTCACATAAGGGTGCAGATAGAGCACTCAGTCCTACCTGGGAAGATCAAACAGGCTGCAGCAATACACTGAGATGTTCCCTGAAGAACTCTGTAACGAAACAATGGAAAACATTTTTCTTTCTTTTTTTTTTAAGATTTATTTATTTAATGTACATTGGGGTTTTGCCTGCATGCATGTCTGTATGAGGGTGTCAGATACCCTGGAACTGGAGTTACAGACAGTTGTGAACTGTCATGTTGGTGCTGGGAATTGAACCCGGGTCCTTTGGAAGAGCAGCCAGTGCTCTTAATTACTTGAGCCATCATTTTCTATACTTAGCTAGGAAATCTTTAAATAGTCAAGGAAAGCAAACAGGGTTCAGACAAAGCCAAGGAAACAGGGGGGACACTCATTTAATATAATAATTTAATATAATAACTTCATTGGAGTTTAACTGTAACTTATGTTTTCTTTTAAAACCTGGAGTGGGCCAGCCAGATGACTCAGAGGGTAAGGTTGCAGCCAAGCCTGACAACCTGGGGTTAGTCCCTGGGTCTTCCATGGTGGAAGGAGAGAACTGACTCTACCCTCTCCATGATATATGCATATATATGTGTGTGTTTGTGTATGTGTGTATACGTACGTACATACATACATATATACATATATAGTCTACCATCTCTATATCTATTCCTAATATTGATTTAGCTATTATTCATCATCTACATATCAAACTATCATCTATATGTTTAGTTCTATCATTTATCATTAATATTTATCTATCTAGCATCTTTTGTTTTGAGACAAAAAAATCTCACTAAATAGCCTAGGCCAGCCTTGAATTCATGATCCTCCTGCCTCCACCTGCGAGTGCTGAAGCTGTAGCTCACCGCAGTACGAGAGCCATTTGACACTGTTTAACAACTTAATTACTCATGGGTAAAAGAAGAAAAAGTCTTGTGTGTGTGTGTGTGTGTGTGTGTGTGTCATGAAAATACTGATACAAACCTTAAATACTTTGGCACCAGCAATTTCAGTAAGTGGTTTCTCTGTATACAAAAGATTCTGTTCTGTAAAAAATTCCCGAATCGCAATTTCACTGATTTCAACACCAACTACAGTGTGGCCCTGGTCTGCAAACCTGCAGAAAAAGAGTTACACTTCAGGTTAACTTTATATACAGCACAGAAAAAAGCCATAATAGACAGACAGTACCTTAGGCTGAGAATACAATCACTAATCAGAGTCCCTGCCAGGCACAAAGCCCTGTGCTGAAAAGTGCATCCCCATAAGAAAGGAAATAACAAAAGAAAACAAATCTGTATGTTGCCTTAATTTTATTTATTTGTTTATTTATTTATTTATTTGTCTTTCGAGGCAGGGTTTCCATGTGTAGCTTTGGCGCCTATCCTGGAACTCATCCTGTAGACCAAGCTGGCCTTGAACTCATAAGAGATTCACCTGTCTCTGCTTCCCAAGTACTGGGATTAAAGGCATGCACCACCACCACCCAGCATCTTTTCCTTAACTTTGAGGGATTCATATCTTCGCAGGCATTCATCTAAATGCATTTGACTAGAGGAAATGCTTTTCAGTCCCTCTAAATTAGCACTGGTTATTGATTCATTTTCTGTGATGATGGATATGCCTATCTCTGTTCTGTACAAAACAGAGCCACTGGCCACACTGGCTACTCTGCATCTGGCAATTTGGTCAGTCCCATAGAAATAATTTTAAATTTTCATTTGGCTTATATTTAAGTAGCCAAGTCCGGCACTGTGTTATGCCACTAGTTCCAGTACTGTGGAGCTGAAGAGCTTGAGATTGAGGCCACACTGGACTATACAGCAAGACTCTGTTTCAAAACCAAAAAAATATAATTAAGTGAATTTTTAAAAATTGCCACATGAAGCCGGGCAGTGGTGGCTCACGCCTTTAATCCCAGCACTCGGGAGGCAGAGGCAGGCGGATCTCTGTGAGTTCGAGACCAGCCTGGTCTACAGAGCTAGTTCTAGGACAGGCTCCAAAGCCACAGAGAAACCCTGTCTCGAAAAACAAACAAACAAACAAAAAATTGCCACATGTGACCAGTATTGCCCTAGTAGAGTGCAAGCTTAAGATACTTTGTGCATTTGGTAACAATCCTATAATTCCCGTTTATTAACAATAAACATGATTGGAAAAATGAATCTTATTACTGTATGCAAATAGCAACATTTTCCTAACAAGCTCTATAGTTATAGATTTCACACTCTGAGGATCGTAAACAGTAGCAGAAATCTTAAACAGAAAAAAAGTAGCAGGTGCCCAAATACTGAGATATCAAATTACATAAAAATTAGACAGTTCTTCTGAAAAGCAGAAGAAGCCTAGCGAAATGTTCTATGTTCAGAGTCATACATATAAATCACAAGGCTGAGGGGAAAGTAAGGGCTAGGAACCAATATGAAAACCATGTGAGTTGGGCATGGGGCATAGGCGTCTTATGAAGTGGAGGCAAGAGGATCCGCTTTCAAGGTCAACCACAGCTATATGCGTTCGAGACAAGCGTGAGCTACAGGAGACCTTGTCTCAAAGATCCACAAAGGGGGCTGGAGAAATAGCCCAGTGGTTAAGAGCACCTGCTGCCCTTGCAGAAGAGCGGGGTTTAGTTCCCAGCACCTATATCACAATGATTCGCATTGGCCTGTAACTCCAGCTCCAGGGGATCTCATACCCTGACCTTTCCTGATCTTCAAGGGCAACAGCCCTCATGTGCACACACCAGCCAACATATACTTAAAACAAATCTTAAAACACACACACACACACACACACACACACAGCAAAGAAAACTAGGAATGAGGCAAAGGCTCAATAGGTAAAGTGCTTGCTACACAAGCATGAGGACCTGAGTTCAAATCCCCAGCACCCACAGAGAAAGCCAGGCATGACAGCCCACACCTGCAATGCCAGTGCTGAGAGGCAGAGACAAGAGGATTCCTGGGGCCTGTCAGCAGACTCCAGGTTCAGTGAGACCTGGTCTTTAAAAATAAGATGGAGATCGATAAAGGAAGATGCGTCATGTGGAGTTTGGACTGCACACGTGTGTATCTGCACATACAAGTACACATACACAAGTACATACCACACTCACAAACCTGTCAGTGTAACAGCTGGAGAAACAGTACAACGGGGCACTCCCTGTGATGGAGTCCTAAGGGCGGTTTCAGAAGGCAGGTTTTGGAAAATGTGCTGTTTGAATCGCTGTGAAGTGATGGGATGAGGAAAACTGAACGGGAAGTTTCTAACACCAAGTATGGAGAAGAAAGGCTGGGCCTGGGGGTAAACTGAGGCAGCAGGGCACTGTCTGAACAGCACACATGTGACTTTAGTCTGCTCATATGCAGCTTCACTCATGGGGGCAGAGTTTGGCTTTTATCTCATGTCTTCTGCAGATGAAGCCACAGGTGACCAAAGGTGACATCACGTGATGTTCCAACCATTCTCGCATCTGTTAACTGAGAATGGACGGTACATTTCAAAACAGAAACAAGACGGACAGTGTCTACTATCGACACAAGAGTGCACACTCCCAACGTGGGCAGAGTTTATAGTTTATAAAGTTTATAGTTCTAAAGTGAAGCACACTGATAACCTGTCTCTCATACTGCCCAGGAATGTACTCTAGCACACAGCGACTGGTTCTTCATTCTTCATACATGCTTTTGAAGTTAGAAAAACTAAGCAAAGGGGTTATCTAAATTGGCTGCATGTATTTTTATTTCCCAGCCAGCACATGCGCCATCGCCTGAAATACAAATAAGGCAAAAGTGAAACCCTAAAATAATGCTCCTATTTCATTTTAATGCTTTTTGGCCCCTGTTCCTAGTTATTTTATCTGCTCATATCCAATGCCTGTACACACATAGGTCAGTTACCCGAGTGAAAAGATAACTTCCATACAATGACAGTAGCTCCGTTCTGTATTTGTATTTCAACTTTTATTATTATTTTTGCAGTTTGGGGGAAAGAAGCCTGAGCCGGTGGATGCCAGGCAAGGACTATCCCACTGAATTACATCCCCAAACCTTAAATTTTTTGTTACAAATGGAGACTCCCAAAATATTCAATAAACACCCAGCTAGCTAGCTATACAGTTTCATTACGGTCGTCTAAACTCTCGGCTCCATTATCATATCTGTTTACAGAGTTGCTTTTTCATATGTACCTTGCAAAGTCACTCTCTTCTGGTTTGGCAAGAGCCCATTAGAGCTTGGCTCTGATAAGAAAAATAATCCTTAGCCGGGCGGTGGTGGCGCACGCCTTTAATCCCAGCACTCGGGAGGCAGAGGCAGGCGGATCTCTGTGAGTTCGAGACCAGCCTGGTCTACAAGAGCTAGTTCCAGGACAGGCTCCAAAAAAAAAAAAAAAAAAAAAACAAAAACCACAGAGAAACCCTGTCTCGAAAAACCAAAAAAAAAAAAAAAAAAAAAAAAAGAAAGAAAGAAAGAAAAGTAATCCTTAATTTCATGGCCACATTTGAATATCAGGTTATAACAGCCATTTAAAATTTTTACTTGTTAATTTTTTATTTCTGTTTATGTGTATGTCTTTGTATGTATTCTCTCTCTCTGTGGGGGGGGGGGGAGGGAGAGGGAGAGAGACCACAGAAGCCAGAAGAGGGTGTTCCTGGGTACTGGGAATTGAACCTGCGTCCTCTCAAGAGCAGCAAGTGCTCTTAACCACAGAGCTACCTACCTAGCCCTGTAACAGCCATTGAATATATAATTTTAGCTACAAGTTGAGACAGTGTGGGCTGCAAAAATTTTATTCTCTATTGGAGAATAAAATCCAAATGCATATGTTTTGTGGGTAGATCACTGGTATTGACATGGGGGTGGGGACTGAGCATTTTAAAGGTAAGTCTATTTTGTATTTACTAACCTTTTCCACTGATCTTTTCTTCCCTCCTGCCTAGTGATCGATAGGAGTTCTCAACATTTAAGATTTAAGCAAATACACATCTTGGAGGCTGTGTTTGTGGCTGTGCATTATCATGACAGCAGTGTTGTGTGTAAAAGTAATCTCTAGGGTTGTGACTCAGGGTAGCCCTGTAGTAATGGCGACTTGTTGATTGGCGTGAGGTCTTTCTGCAGAGGACTGCTCACAAGAACTACTCTCCTCACCACTGGGTTTATAATGGTGACTCACACTAACAAAATCTCCTATTGGCTCATGGGCGGAAGAGCTGAGCTGAACTCTGGATTACAAACACTGTCCTGCTAAAAGGTTTGCTACACTTTGTGTTTTTCTGTTGCCTTCCATTCCAAACATTCATAGTTATTGAAATCTCTAAGCTACTTATAGACATTAGACCACATACATAGATCCCGGAGATATGAAAAAGGAGGCTAGAGTTCCCCTGCTGGTTCCAAATTAATTCACCCCGTAATTGCCAAGATCACAAGTGCATACCACCACCCTTGTTTTAAGCAATGTCAGGGACTGAACCTTGTGCATGCTAGGCAAGTGCTCTACCAACTGTGCTAAATCCTCAGGTCCCCACAAACTATTTTACAAACAAAATACAGGAAGACAAGGTCATACCTGACTCAGTTTGCACTCCTGTTATTTGGAAACAGTATCTCTAATTTTATAACTATGACAGAGTCTCCTAAAATAAAGACACTCGGATTTGAGGATGGTATTTTGTCGTTAATCTTTGTATGATTGCTTGACTGGCTCTTTGAACAGGGCCTCACCTAGCCTAGTGGCCCTTGAACATATGTGTAGCCAAGGCTGATCTTGAATTTCTGATCCTTTTGCTGTCACCTCACGTCCTACCATTATGTGTATGTCCTGCCACAGATGACTCTGAGAATATTTAAAATTTTTTTAAACAATCTTTTCTCATTTTACATACCAATCCCAGTTCCCACTCCCTATCCTTCTCCTGCTCCCCCACCCCTCATTTTTTTTAACATACACATATGTTGTTAAATATTCACCCCAAGTATTACTCCACAAAAACTAGTTAATGGTTACCATTTCATCTCAACCGCTTTTCCACAGAGAGGGAAAAACACTCTCAGTTCACTCTGGCCTTTAAGGAATGTTTCCAAATGCTTCTTTAATAGCCTAGGGAGAAAAACAAAGTTACAACAGTGCTTGCTTTAACTAGCCCAATGCACAGGAGAAGGGAATAGAATTAATGACACTAAGAACTTCCCAAGCTCCCAACAATGTAACAAGAAGATAATGTAAATTATTACAACCTCCAGTTTACACTTAAAGAAACAGGGAAGCTAAGGAACTTGCTTCATTACACAGCTACTTAGAGTTAAATATGACTAACAACCTGAGTTTTCATGACTGTAAAATAACTTCTGCTTCTGTGAGTGATACATCTGGAAAAGTCTGTCCTAATCACCACATTTACACTCTGATTTCTGTTGTGACCTAAGTGGTGTTAAGTGTTCAATAGACCTATCTACATTTCAGTCCTTTCAATACAGAATAGCTTCTCAATGAGCTTAACTCTTTTTAAACTTTAATTAAATTAATTTATGATATGTGTGTGTATGGGTACACGTCTGTCATGGCACATGTCTGGGGGTCAGAAGACAACTTCCAAGACTCAGTTCATCCTGTGGGGCTTAGGGATGAAAGGCAGACTGTTGGGGTTGGTGGCACATGCCTTCCTGGGCGGAGCCAGATTGCCGGCCTTCACCCTCACTTTTGAACATACAGAGACATAAGCTTAAATCTTGCTTCAGCATTTTGCTGCATGTATAAGCACCAAAGTATGGTGGTTTTAAAAAAGAAAACACATTTCATAAATCTAAGATGTCATTGTCTGCAAGTCAAATCATTATACAATGAAAGAAAACACACACTGCTAATTAAAGTATGGCTGGCTATGGATACTTTCTGATATCTGAGAGGTTGCATAATATGAGACTATTACAAAAAAAATAAATCCAAAATTATATTTGAATATTACTTTTAAAGTCAGCTTCTTTTTGCTTCTCCCCCTTCCTTTTCTTTCAGAGGCAAAGTCTCACGGAGCCAAGCACTGGCCTCAAACTCACTTATGTAGCTTCAACTTCTGATCCTTCTTGCTCCCATTTCTCAATTGTTATTATAGGCATATGCCATCTTGCCCAGTTTTGTTCAGTACTGTGGATCACACCAAGTGTCCTGCATGGCTCTCTGCCAACTGAGGCACACACTACCTCCCCACCCCACCTTACTCCAGTCAATTTCTCTGTCAGAGACCAAACACGTCTTACCGATGCCCTTGTTCCTGATGAAATCCGATGTTACGGGTCACCCACCTACCCTGCCATTCTTCCAGGGTTAGTACGCGGTTCTTCTGCACTTCAGCATTGGGGAGCTCTTTCACATGGAGTGAGGTGGCATCAGCCATAGTTTGAAGACAATTTTTGTCTCAGAGGATGGTATCTCCAGTGCCTAAATGGAAAAATATCTGCAATGACATCAGGACCTGTGATTCTGTTGGTGAACTATACAAAACCTTTTGGCTATAGCTTTTCAAAAATAGATGGCTCAGTGGTTAAGAGCACTGACTGCTCTTCCAGAGGTCCTGAGTTCAAGTCCAGGAATCATATGGTGGCTCACAAGGATCTGTAATGAGATCTGATGCCCTCTTCTGGCCTGCAGGCACACATGCAGACTGAACACTGTATACATAATAAATAAATAAATAAATCTAAAAAATGTCAACATTGAAGCCAGGGTGGTATCACATGTCCCCAGTCCTTGGGAGACAAGAGGGTTGTTGCCATTTCCAGGCCAGCCAAGGCTACACAGCAGGACCCTCTCTCAACAAAACAAACAAGACAGGCATGGTGGCATATGCCTCTAAGCCCAGCACTAGGGAGGCAGAGGCAAGAGGCTCTCTGTGAGTTCCAGGCCAGTCAGGGCTACAGTGAGACCTTGTATCAAAAGAAACAAACACCAAAACCAACCAAACAACAAAACCCAACTTTCAACATCCAATAAGTCATAACAAAAATTACATTTCAGTGAGTCTAGGACTAAGAACACTTCACTGTTCTATGTCAGGAAAGTCGGCCTCAGAGAATAACCTGCACCCCACCCTACAAGCCTACAGATGTAACAAGGAGTGGAAACCTGGCTGTAAGAAGTTGACGAAAGAAGTTTGTGATTTTAGCCTTTTTAAAACCAGAAATTCAGCCAATCATTGCCCCAGTTCCACTCCCACACCCATTTCTGGGAATAGTACTGTTAAGACAGGAGGGCTCGGGATGTTGTACTGCCGAGATCATCCATTGGCTGGCCCCATGGCCAGATCAGAGTTCAGCCTGTTGAACCCGTGGAGTGCTTACCCAGTAGTCCTCTGCTTCCTTCATGAATGGTTGACACATTTAAAAATCCCGACATTTGGTAGGGCTTCAGGAGGGTGAAGAAGATAGATACGTGGGTTCAATATATTACTGCTACATTATTGAAAGATTGTATTGTCAAATAACATTCTCATAGCTTTTGAAAGGCTCTTGCAAATTGAACCTATGGGTTCGTGTGCTCCAGGCAAGCAGTATGCCTCTGAGCTATAGCCCTGCTCCCACTTGCATGAGAACATGCACAAGAAAGGAACTGAGGGGGTAGAAGCTTCATGTACCTGCAACTGCAGATTGAGTATGTCAGGAGATGCTCGCCCTTTCAATATTAAGGGAAATATAGTACCACAATTCTAGGAACTAGAGAGATGATTCCGTGATTAAGAGCACATATTCTTCTTGCAAAGGACAAAGGTACGATTTCCAGAAATTACATGATGTCTCGTGGTGGTTTATATATATGTCACACAGGAATACAAATAAGACATTTGTTCACATAAAGTAAAATAAAGAAATATAATTTTCCTCCCAGAATCCCCATCTGCCCTTTAAATCCCTGGCAATCATATGACTTGAATGTAAAGATTTTATCTGTGAAACAGCAACCATCACAAAAGTAGCAATTTAAGGAAATTCCCATTTTGTTGCATGATTTAGAGTCCGTACTTAGGATTAAAGGACACCATCCTTAACTCTGGGAAGAAAGACACACCTCACAGCAAGTGTTTATTAACTAAAGGCTTTTTTCCAGGTCCTGATGTCAGGGGGCAAAGCCTAGAATTCTGAAAGATCAGTAGCAACTACGGGATTATTGTGGATATAGAAAAGCAAGAGAATTACTCTCCTCCTATCTGGATTTCCTATCATCAGAAACTGTGGCTCCAAAAGTTGCCCTCAGAAAGAAGTGCTCTTCTGAACTTAGAATCATCTTTACCCTGCCCAGCTCTATCCCTCTCACCGAAGCAGTCATAAATGCAATCATTTAGCTGTAGTAACAGTGCCTCAATGTGGTTTTCACTGTTCATTTCTGGAGAAATAAAATTCTGAACACAATAAAAGTGCAAAGTACGATGATAAGAAAAGACAAACCCACAATAGTTTCCTCTCATAAATGTTCACACCCAGTATGCTCATTGGTCCAAGCCCTAAAAAACACTTGTTTCTGCTTTAGGATTATTATTATTATTATTTTAAACAGAGGGTCTTTCTGGAATTTACCATGTAGTTGGGGCTGATCTCTAACTCACTGAGTTCCTCCTGCCTCAGCACTCTCGAGCTGGGTTACAGGCCTGCACCACAACGCCTGACGTTTGCTTTAGCTTTATTCCTAAATTTTGTTAAACTAAAAAGTAACTTCACTAAAGTGCATAGATCTCGAGCATGACTTTGGAATGACACTTGGACACGTGTTAAAACACATGAAACACGCCACTAAGCATGGAGTCTTAGGACTCAAAGCCTCTGCATTTCTGATCTCTACCCAGGTTTTGCGGCGGTTCCCGAAGCCCCTTTTCGGGACGCGGGTAGCTGGTCATCCGTGCTTTACACATACTCCCTTCTGAAGAACCCTGTAACAGTCTTAGCAAAAGCACTGCCTTTCTCACCGGCGGGGAACTTACCTTGGCTGCGCACTGCTGCCTTCCTCTGACTCTAGGGGACACCTGAGTTGCAACAACCCGACCAGTGCAGTGACGCGTAGGCCCCGCCTCAGGGACAAAGCCCCCGCCCCATACTGACAGGCTCCGCCCCTGAGAAGACGCCCGGGCTCCTGTCCTATAGGCCCTACCCGGGCGTGTGAACCCCTCCCAGAACCGGCGGACGCCTTTGCTCCCCAGGCCACGCCCAAGACTCTCAGGCCCCTCCTACGTCGTATTGATCCCGCCTCTGGCACAAGGACCCCGCCCCTAAACCAAAGCCTCGCCCCCGCGCTCGCAAAAGGGCTCCGCCCAGAGCGCGGAGGAGTTCGCGCAGCGGCGGAAATGGCGAGGCGAGGCGAACGCCCGGACCCTCCCACTCGCCTGAGCCTGCGAGCTCCTCCCACTCCGGGTCACGCCGTGATAGGGGCGGAAGCGGTGGCGGCCAAGGAGCTGTAGCTGCTGGCGCGGATCCCGTCGTCCTGAGCGCTGCCCATCTTGTGAATGCAGAATACATATTTTACATGTAAAGAAATTTATGTATTTTTATGTATGTGAAAATACTTAGGTGAATGGTTAAATTGGACACCCTTTTTGAAAGAATAGATGAGGCATGAGACGTAGTTCAGTGGTAGAATGCTTGCCTACAGAACAACATAAAATAAGTTAATTTTAAAAAGTGCGACTGGAATCTGGAAAGTTCATTGTTGTTGTTGTTTTCAGATAGGTTCTCTGTGTAGCTCTGACTGTCCTAGAATTTTCTCTGTGGACCAGGCTGGCCTTGAACTAGGAAACTCACCTGCTTCGTCTCCTGAGTGCTGGAATTAAAGGCATGCACCACCACCGCCAGACTCAGAAAGTCTTTATTTAACAAGAATTGAAGGTAGATTGTATTTCTACTATTAGCACTGTACCAGCGTAGTGGAATCCGTAGCACTGATTTTATTTTATGTGTTGGGGACTTAGTTCAGGGCCTCATGCACACCAGGCTTGTCTTTTATCACTGAACTAAACTCCTAGCACCCTCTAGTCCCCATTGGGGGCCAGTGAGACACAGAGATGGAACAGCAGGTGAAGGGCTTTTGCTGCCAAACCTAATAATCCGAGTTTGATCCCTGGAACACACATGGGAGAAGGAGAGAATTGGTTCCTCCCAGAGGTTGACCTCTGACCTCCACATTTGTGCTATGGTATGTGCCCCCCCCCAGTACATAAACATAAAGAAAAAAATGCCTCTTAAAAAAAGTCATCTTCTGCATCTTAGAAGATGTAGTCTTACTGTGTTGTAGCTAGCATTCTGCTGGCTTGCAGAAAGTCATGAAAAGTTGAACCACCCACAGTATTGATGTTGTGATTCTTAGTGTGGATGTGAGAGTTTGCATGTGTTGTTAATGATTTATGAGAACTGGACTTGCGGACATGAATGCAACTTACAAGTGGAAACTGAGTATACAAGGTCTTCAGACTTTTCTCCAAGATTAACAGGCATGGCGTCAGTTCCTGCCCTCTGTGGTGCCGCTCTGCTGCCCCCACGTTACCCACACAGATGTCCTCCTTACTCTTCCTCCATTTGGTGTGTGAGCGATGGCATGGCAGGAAAGGCCGAATAACTATAGATTAATAGGTCATTGTTTACTCTAAGCATTTTCTTATCTTATTGAATATTTTCTAATAGCTCATACTCTTTCATGGGTTCAATGCCTAATTCATAGATGTTTGGTTTTGAGACAGTGGCTCACGTCCAGACTGGCCTTGAACTCACTGTGCAGCTGAAACTGGCTGTGAATTTCTGTTACTGCCACAAAACACTGACCAAAAGCAACTTAGGGAAGGGAAAGGTTTGTTGCATCTTTCATATCACAGTCCATTGAGGGAGGAGCTTTCTTGATAATTTGGGGTGGGGCTGCTGGTGGGCGGGACAACGCACTGGAAAAGGGGTGGGGCTGGATGCCAGAGGCGGGGCTCATGTGAAGGGGTGGGCCTGTGTCAGGGGCGGGGCCAGTCGTAGTGGCAAGGGAAACGGTTCTAGGGATCAGACAGTTGAGCGTCCCTGACCTAACTTACAACAGTCATTGAGTCAGGTGATCACCGACTGCAGACGTTGGAGCTGCGGTTCCTTCTTGCCCTCCACTTCGCTGCTGCCACTGACTGCTGAGCTTAGCAAGGCTCAGTTCCTGGCACCACGAAGGCCTCCTTGGTGTCCAAAGAGCCCTGAACCCATCCATGTGGGTGGCTGCTGCAGCCTAGGGACACAGAGACTGAGGCCTCCAGCGAGACTGCGGCGGGCCAGTCTGATGGAGGAGGAAGAGGATTGAGGTAGTGATCTTTTTAAAACCGTGGGGTTATTTATCATTGTGCTTATACGAAAAGATTTTAAGTAACGTTTCTGTTTGAGCATTTTACTCAGTAGATCATCGGTTCTCAACCTGTGGATCGCAGCCATCAAAAACCATATATTTCTGATGGTCTTAGAAACTGAGACACCACTCGGTAGCAAAATTACAGTTTTGAAGTAGCAACGAAAATAATTTTATGGGGCTGGAGAGATCGCTCAGTGGTTAAGAACATTGCCTGCTCTTCCAAAGGTCCTGAGTTCAATTCCCAGCAACCACATGGTGGCTCACAACTATCTGTAATGAGGTCTGGCTCCCTCTTCTGGCCTGCAGCAATACACACAGACAGAATATTGTATACATAATAAATAAATAAATATTTAAAAAAAGAAAATAATTTTATGGTTGGGGGTGTTCACCACAACATGAGAAACTAAACTGTATTGAAGGGTCACAGCATAGGGAAGGTTGAGAACCAGTGCTCTACACAGACAGACATCCGTGATGTAGACAAAAGGAAGCAAATGTGGGAATTAAGATACTGGTAGCTAGTGGTAAAATGTGCCTTTATGATGCTTAGAAACTGTTCAGAATGCAGAACCCTGTGGCAGGTATTCCCAACTGTGGAATACCAGTTTTCAATTAGAAAAAGTACACAACGTTTATTTTTGTGTGTGAATTTATCTGAATAGTTCTTGTGCTGGCGTCCAGCCACCCAGCTGCCTGAGACAGGCAGCATCAGCAGAGGCTCCAACAGGACAGCGTTCACTCTTTTTTACTCCTGGCCTTCACCTTCTCCTCCCATGGCACTGAGGCCCTGCAGGGGTGGCTGGCAGGCTTGGGCCCTGGCAAAGGCAGGAGAGTGCCAGGAAAGCCTGGCTACAGCACACTGCCCCCAAAATCTACAGCAGCAGGCGTATGATCGCTGTTTTTATATTTGAAATTGGTGTGCTTTAGTGTCTGCTTTTTACTTTGTATCTCCTTTTCAGAGTCCCTGTCTTGCTGTGTTGAGATTGACCTGGACCTCACTTAAGGCACTCAGGCTAATCTTGAACTCTTGATCTTCCTGCCTCTAGAATCGTGGCGTGACAGGTTTGCCCACAATGTACCAGGAAAATGTACCAACACTTTGTGGAGTTTTGGAGTTGTGTTTGTGACAGATGTGGGTTTGTTGTTTCTATTCTTTGCCTGGTTTGGGTATTTGGGTACTGCCGCTTTAAAAGAAGGGGTTAGGTAGGACAGCTGCACAGCCTCTTACCCTGAAGTGACTGCAGGGAATTGAGGGCAGGAGGCTGTGCTGGGGTCAGTCTCTGACACCGTCCAAATGAAAACATGGGGAATTGGTAATTTCTTCCCTAAATGTTTTGAGGAGTTTGCCATCCACTCTATACAGCACTTAAGGCCAGGCAGGTAGCACACACTTATCATCTCCAAACTCAGGAGTTTTAGACCAGCCTGTTTTACATGAAGAGTCCATGCCCGCCAGTGCTATACAGTGAGACCCTGACTCAGAAAAAAAAAATCTTTTTAAAGGTGGGGCCAGTAAGTTATCTTAGCAGGTAAAGGTGCTTGGTACCCAGCCTCCCGATCTGAGTTCAATTCCCAGTACCATGTGGTGGAAAGAAAGAGCCGACTCTCACAAGTTAACTTCTGACCTCCACAGGCACACAACAGTGCACACACAACAGTGCACACACAACAGTGCACACACTTCCACACATGTTCACACACATGTACACAACAGTGCACACACAACAGTGCACACACTTCCACACATGTTCACACACAACAGTGCACACACAACAGTGCACACACTTCCACACATGTTCACACACATGTACACATACAACAGTGCACACACTTCCACACATGTTCACACACAACAGTGCACACACTTCCACACATGTTCACACACATGTACACATACAACAGTGCACACACTTCCACACATGTTCACACACAACAGTACACACACTTCCACACATGTTCACACACAACAGTGCACACACAACAGTGCACACACTTCCACACATGTTCACACACAACAGTCCACACACAACAGTGCACACACTTCCACACATGTTCACACACAACAGTGCACACACAACAGTGCACACACAACAGTGCACACACAACAGTGCACACACAACAGTGCACACACTTCCACACATGTTCACACACAGTGTGTTTTAATAAATTCAAGATGATTGACACCCAAAGAATGACACCGAATGACACATACAGACAAACCTTCATATACACACCAGGCATGCACCACAGACATGCACCTACAGGCACGCACCACACACACACACACACACACACACACACACTGTACACAGTAAACTATAAATACGTGGTTTTCATATAAAAGGGCAGGGAAATGGAGGATAGAGGAAAGGAAAAGAAGGAGGAATTAGTCATCAGACTGGAATGCACCCAGAACTGACAGTTCCGGAAGACATGATTCCCTATGTAGAAAACAACAGTGAATCTGTCAAACAAAACAGAACATACTAGAACTAATAAACAGTTTTATGTTTATAGGAAATAATATTTCTACCAAAACTGTATTTCCACAAACCAACAAATGTGAGAAGGAAACTAATCTGACCTTACAGTTTCATTCAAAAAAGGGTGAACTATTTGCAAGTGAAGCACTGAGGAGAGGAAGGGAAGCTGTGGTCAGTGGGTGCTGGGTGAGGACAGCCATCCTCCAGAGGCATCTGTGAATTCAGT